TTAGCTGAGTCATCCTGCCACCTGTTGGCAGCTCAGTGGCTGCTCAGCTCGGGCTGGGACTCGAACCACTGTTGCTCAGAGCTCGCACTCTTCAGTGAGCTCTTAACCAACTGCGCCACTTGGCCAGCACCCCCAATAAAATCTTTTTTTTAAAAAAGAAACCCTTTTCTAAAAAAATGTTTTGAAGTTTAAAAGATATTGCCCAAGTGCCCTTCAAAACAGGTGCATCGGTCAGTTCACTCGCACAGGTAACCTCCTGAGGGGGTAACAAGGAGGGTCCTGAAGAGAGGTTCCTGCTGAGTTGGGCGCCTTGCTGTCACTCTTTCTCGTCAACCTTCTCCCGACGATATTCAGGAGGGCAGCCATCCACTTGCCAGAATCCACCCATGGCCGGTGGGACATTTGTAAGCTGACGCCAAACCCTAAACATAACTCTCCCAACATCTACTTGACCCAAGTAACTCGTCACCATCCATGCTTATTACAAAACGAAGGCCACGGAGCCGCTTCTCACGTCACCTTCTACCCAAACAGGAGCTTCCAGGGAGTGTCACTGCTGTGTTCTCCAACCCTAAGCAATTGTGCCCCCACCCCCAACCCCGTCACCTCCCCGAGACCCAAGGGAGGCTGTGGCCCAGGGGCAGCACAGAACCAGGGCCTGGGGTCAGCTGCTTCTCCAGCACTCACTCTTGACCTCTCCCCTGGCAGACGTGCACCGTGGCCTCATGAAAACTGCCTCACGCTCTGCGTCTCAGTGCTGGGTGAGGATGGAGAAGGAGGGAGAGGCGCTTAATTCCCTCTCTAGAACTTTCCATTGCACAGGGATTTCAATACTTCCCCTGAAATGTGTACTATCCATTTCATTACAGAGTTTGTAACGCCCACCACTGGACAAGAATGACGATAATAACTGCTGACATCTGCACACACTTCCTCTGTGCCAGGTTCTGTGCTAAACATCTGGCTTGCGTTGTATCATCTACATCTTGTAACCACCCCTGGAGGCCCGTATTATTCTTCACAGGACACTGAAGCCCAAAAGCCAAATGATTCTCTAGGTTCCATAAGCTGATAACTCACCTCCGGGAATCACACATCTGTCCAACCAGGAGTTGCACTACCCCATCCACCAGTAAGACCCCTAAGCAAACTGTGAGAAAACATTTCTAAAAAGCTCTTAAGACCCAATTTCAGTTACTACTACCTTGTGATCGCCTGACTGAATTATTTGTTCACTCTCTGCACTCTGAACTAACCACAAGCAAGTTTTACAAACGCTCCAGTGGCCATTTCCGATGTGAGGGGGACACTGGAGGCAGCTGCGCCTGGATACCTCAGCGGCCAGACCACGACAGAGGCAGGGACGAGGGGCCATGAGGCCGGGGCTTAGCTTTCCTTCCTGAACAGGCCCACCCAGCAGTGGGGCTCTGCCTGCCGGCCTCAGCAGGTCTCCAGGCCCCTCGGTCCTCCAAGCACAAATCCCAAACCCTCGTTCGTGGAAGTCCTTACCACCGGCAGAAACCCGGTCAGAGAAGCCTCGCGGCGGAAGGAGGCTGATGGAGGCTCAGGCCTCTGAGGAGCAGCCCAGGCTGTGCAGCCCGGGCAGAGCTGGAACCAGCCCGGCCTCGCGCTTTCAGCCCCACCAAGCAGCAGCAGCCCTACAGTTTCTACTTCTCTAATGATGGCTTTTGTGCCAGCCCCTGGCCTCCAATGTCTTCCCGAAGTGATGTGCTGGGGTGGGGGGTGAGCCTTGAGGGAGGCCGCTAGTGACCCTGGATGGTGAGGAGGCTAGGCTGTCCTCCTTCACAGCTGGGTCTGTGTAGGGCTCCCGAAAGCTGCTGGCCCCACAGCTGGGAAGACTGCCTGCCCGACCTGGAGCCCCGCACACAGGGACTACCACCAGGATGGAGTGTCCGAGCACCAAATATGTGCATGGTGGCGCCTAAAGGACTGCACCAGCTCCTCTGGGGTGGAGAGGCCATTCCTAGTAAGGCACAGGGGACACTGGTCACTGCGGACCAGGTAGCCCATAAAACGCTGCTTCATGGGCTCCAGGAGCCAGCAAAAATGAAGGCAGAAAGTGAGAAACCACCGGGCAGCAGGCGTCAGGAGAAGGACGCTCTCTTTGGTAATTCCCCGTTCTGCAGCTCTGCCCTGGGAGACCCACGCTGCCCTCGGCAGACGGGAAGGGAGCCGGAGTGATGTGAAACTCCGGCTCTGGCCCCACCACCTGCCTGCCCTGCTCGCACCTCTTTGGGTCTTGCTGATCCTGCTTGTTTGCCCATCCCGTCCCGTCCTTGGGTACTATAACGATGTTGGGGTCGTTTCCTTTGTTTTCAGATTTCAGGCTTGGCAGGTTCGCAGGCGGTGGCATACGCCGGGCTGTGGCAACTTTCCCAAGACTCTGTAAGCCATGTCTAGGAATGACTGCAGGAAGAGGGGTGGAAACAGACAATGCACAGCCAAGTTAGGGAAGGAAGGCCAGAGCCGTTCAGCTGCTCTTTGAAACTCAAAGTGATAACGACAAAGGCAACAGGACACAAGCAAGGGGTAGGCTGCATGGAAACAAACGAGAAGTGTTTGCTGCTCACTTTACAAGCCCTTCACCGAGGCCTTCAGAGACACAGGGGCTGCTGGGATCTCCACAGAGGCTCCCCTTTTATTAGCAGGCAAGAAAGCTCAGGGAGTTTACGACTTGGGTGAGGAGCCAGGCCCAGGAACCTGCGTCCCACACGGTAACCGCTTCTCTGCAAGTTGAGACTGCTCTGGCCTCGTTACAGCACGACTGAAAGGCCAGCCTCTGCCTAGACCCGAGCCAAGCCTGAGCAGGGCCCCAACATTCATAAAATCCTCACGGGGTGTGGATAGCATCAGCAGGAACTTTTCCCACCAAGTTCCAGAATACGGGAACCATGAAATCTAAACCGGGAAACTCTAATGCAAATTAAGCTCCATTCTAACCCTCAGGCTTAAAAATACCCATGGCTTCAACAAGATAAGATGGGGGGGGGGGGAAACAGCCCCACTTTAGCAGAATCAAGGTATTCTAGGTCTGAAATCAGACCGCCAGTAGAGGAGCACAGGGGGCCTCTGCTTCCCAGAACCACATGCGGGTGACCACTGCGTGCCCGGGCTGATTTGCACGACCATATCTGCCTGACCAGACGGGGAACTCTGGGTTTTCATGGTCCGCCGTGACGTGGAGTTTCTCACTGGAGGGAAAGTGGCAGGGCTGGCCTCCGACTCGTTCTTACCTGAGGATCTGATCGCGTCTACTGATTTTCCTTTATACTTATCAAACAGGCTGAGAGTCGAATACTTGCTTTTCCCATCCTTGCCCTTGGTTATTTGCCCCAAACGATCGGACATTGCGATGAAATGTCATCTAGTAAGGAAATTTTTCTCGGCACCGCTCCTGATCTGCCTTTGAAATGAAAAGAAAAAAAAGTGTGTCAATCCACCAGGACCTCTGATTCTGTGAATTAAATCCTTCAGGGATCATGGGTCTCCATGAAGAGCTGCAGAGAGCTTTGGACTCTGTCGGGAAGAAAACGCCCTTACCAGGCACAGGCAGTTACGCTCACACTTCAGGAGCATCTTGTAGACCTGCTGGTCCCCACCCCAGGTTAAACACGCTCTGTATGAAATGGCTGGAGTCTACTGCTCATCAGCTACACTGAAATGTAAGCTCTTACACACCGAGTCCTCTCTCCGAGTCAACGACCTCTCTTCAGGATGGAAAAACAAACGCTCATCACTTGTAGCACTTCCATGGAACACCAAAAACACGGCAGGCAGAAGAGGGAGGCAAGCAGCCCCCTTATGGAAGGCTGTTCGTTGCAAGGACAAGCAAAACCAAATCAAAGGGAAGCAACCAGTCAGTCACCGCCCAGGAACAGTAGGGCATGTGTGCTTCTCAAAGTAAAGACCCAGCATCCAGGCAGAAGACATGGCTCAGGCCACAGGAGCACAGCTCTACAAGGTGCAGCATGCAAAACAGAGCACGTGCTCCCCAGGGACAGCCCGCAGGGGGGCTGTACTGGCCACATCTGCCATTTCCAGGCAGAGAAAATCTCAGGAAGACCACCAAGAAAGAGGCCTCCCTCTGCCACTCATCCTCTACAGGTGTTTATATGTCTACTGGCACTTTCCTCCTCAGCTCATTCATTTGCTCACTCACTCATTCAGATACTTAGCGAGCGCCCGCCAAGAGTGAGTGAGTGCTCCCTCCATGCCAGGACCAAGGACTAGGAGGTTCAGGCCTTTTACTCTACACCCAGCCTTGGCTGTAGGTTCTAAACTTGACCATGAAATAAACACTTTCATAAGTGAGCACTACTCCCCACTGGAATTAATATACGGAAGAGAAAGCTAAAGCACCAAGTCAGGCTTGCTGATGTTGTCTTACTGACAAACGGAGGTAGCTGGAAAACACCCACTGGCTAATAACACGCAGCAGCTGTGGCAGGAAGGTTTGTCGTCTCCGCCTGTTCTGAAGCCAGGACAGACATCCAGTGTGCCGGGGGAAGCATTTTGCACCAAAAGGTGATTTCAAGGCAAAACTATAATTTATGACCCAAGACTACAAATACAAAGCACAAGGAACAAAAATCAGTTACAAACTAGGGCCCCCAAAAGTGAGACGGAAGACACTGGCTTTACCCTCCCACCCCCCGCACAGATGTGCCCACCATGCCAAGTGTGAACGCAGTTTGTTCTTACACAAAACTGGATATATATCCATTCTTTTACTCATTTCATAAACCTTCACTGATACCCAAGGTCTGCCAGTCACTGTCTCAGGAGCAGGGATAGATAAGCATGTACTTTGTATCAGAAAACGCTCATGGGCCGGCCGAGTGGCGTGATGGTTAAGAGCTGGCTTGGGATGCCAGAGGGCCCCGGTTCGGATCCCACATATGAGGGCCAGTGACACTGCCCTCTACAGCTAAGATGCTGAACAACAGCTCAACCTGGAGCTGGGTTGCCCTGAGTCGCCGGTGACAGCGTAGGCTGCAGCCCCTGCTGCAGTGGGTTGCCATGGGCTACCGTGTGTACCAGCAGCCAGCGTGAGCGGCCAGCAGCCGCAGTGAGCGGCCATCCAGAAGCCGGTGATTGATGTGCCTCGCCCGGGAAGAGCACAATGGTGGTGCCAACTTGGGCCAATGAAGCAATGTCCTCCACAACTAGACTAAAGAACAAAAGGACTGCAACTTGTCTGTTCCCCTTCTCCCAATTCCCCAGTACTGTTCCTATCCCCCAATAAATATCTTTAAAAAAAAGAAAACGCTCATAAAGCATGAATGTAGATGGACGCCGAGGGGCGAGTGTTCCTTTGTGAGTTGGATATGGATGTGTAGGGGTCATCTCCTACATGGCTTCAGCACCCTGGTAGAACACTTAACTCCCTTCCTCACCCAGACCCCGATCCGTCGGCCACTGCCCAGAGAGGAGGCTCACAGCCAGTGGCCAAGCCCAGGAAGCTAAGCACACTGGCGGGGAGTAAGGCACGATGAAGCGATGAACCAGCAGAAATGCCCACAGGTGCCCACTGCTCCCAAGTTACATGTCAGAGCCACTTAATGCCAGCAGCCCTTCCCAGTGTCTGCCTCGTGTGCCAGGAGCAAACAGCAATGACCAGGGGTGCGAACTCACCAAAAGTGTTCAAACTTTGGTGCCCAGGGTTCCCTGCCCCACCCCCAGAAGTCGTAACTATAACAGCACTCCTCCAGGCTGGACTGTAAGCTCCTCGAGGAGGACGGGGGTGGGGGTGGGGCGGGTCTTATGCGCATTGGAATGACTCACATTTCACAGGCTCTCAAATGTCAATCCACTTGAAATTCTCCATTAAGATTAAATGATATCTAATTTTTAGACACTTCTGTCAACTCAAACCAACAGAAAAGATCAACTGGGCTGGAACCAGAAACAGCCCCAACACACATACATGCACGAACACACACAACACGTAACAAATGCCGCATGCTGATAGCAACAGGCAGCCCCTGCCTAACAGAGCTTACCGTCTAGAACAGGGGTTGGCCAGAACAGGGGTTGGCCAACGCCGGGCAGGGCCCCAGCCAATGCCTGTTTCTGGAAGGCCCTCAAGCTAAGAACGATATATATGGGTTTTTTTTTTACATTTTTTAACATTTGTTTATAAAAACAAAGAAGATGCAACAGAGACTGCATGTAGCCCGCAAAGCCACCTGTAGAAAAGTTGTGCTGACCCAGGCAGAGCCTAAAAGGAAAAGTCTTCAACACACACCGTCAGAGGTCTGTGGGTGGGGAACAGATGGGCAGCCTGAGAGGACACCAGCTTCAGTGGGGGTCTGAGGAGGGCCCACCCACAGGGGGAGGGGCCCAGGCAGAGGAACAGGACATGCGTCTTTTATTCACCATGAGGAGTTATTCCATGGACTATGCTAGAGAGCTTAGGACTATTAACAGTCTTTTCACAAATTCCTGTGGCAGGATGAATGACAGAAGTGTGAAGTCCTAATTCTCAAGACCTGTGACTATGTTACCTTATATAGTCAAAAGGGTTCTGCAAATTTGATTAAAGTTTGGGTCCTGAAATGGGGAGATTATTCTGGATCATCCAGACGAACCCACAGTCATCACAAGGGTCCTTAGCAGAGGGAGGCAGGAGGGTGAGAGTCAGAGAGATGTGACAGCGGAAACAGAAGCTGGGGTGAAACGAGGGCTTGGAGCAGAGAAATGGGGGCGGCCTCTGGAAGCTGGAAAAGGCAAGAGAGCAGATTCTCCCTGGAGTCTCCTGGAGGAGCACAGAACACAGCCCTGCTGACATCTTCATTCTGGCCCAGCAAGACTCACTTCAGACTTCTGACCCCCCAGAACTCTAAGAAGCTTCATCTGTACAAGTCACTACAATTGTGGTAGTATTTTACGCCAACAATAGAAAACTAATACAGTAAAACCTTGGATTGCAAGTAACTTGGTTTGCGAGTGTTCTGCAAGACGACCAAACATTTCTAATACATTTTAACTTGGTAAACGAGCGATGTCTTGCAACACGGGTAGTTTGCTTCTGGAATGAATTATGCTCGCAAGCAAGGTATTACTGTACATTCATTTATTCAACATATTTTTATTAAGCACAGACACGTGCCCAGCATGATGGGCCTGGGTTACAGTGGAGGATAAGCTGGACAGGACCCTTGCGCTCTGACGTCCAGCCTGCAGAGATGATGGGACTCACCCATGGTCGCACAGCTAATGATAAGCATGTTCCAGAACTTCTCACTAGGGCACAATGATGAAAAATGCTAAAGTGCAGCCACACCCACGCTGCCCTGACCCCAGCTTACATCTGACCGCTGAAGCTATAAAAACTTCTAAATAAAACCAGTGGCACATCCTTCTCAGCCACACACCTGCAGGACGACAGATGTAGCACTGTTGATTTAAATTTGGATAACTGGGGGGCGGCCGGTTAGCTCAGTTGGTCAGAGTGCAGTGCCCACAACACCAATGTTGCCGATTCGATCCCCACATGGGCCACTGAGATGTGCCCTCCACAACTAGACTGAAACAACTACTTGACTTGGAGCTGATGGGTCCTGGAAAAACGGACTGTTCCCCAATTTAAAGAAAAAAAAAAAAAGAATACTTCAGAGTTTTAAAAATAAATAAATAAAAATAAATTTGGATAACGAGCTCTTACTAAATTAAAAACCAAATTGGCAAAGGCAAGAGAAAGAAAATTTATCTACCAGCAATTCAGGGCCATCAAATTTCCACCTTAAATCTTAACATGCTTGATTTTTAAAAGTCAAATGTCTTTTAATTCTGAAACTTGACCAGAAAATTCTCATTTCTATAGATATTGCTAAGAAGTCTTCTTCAAATCTGTTAGTCCAAACAGTTCTGCCAGTTCACTGGTACAAACAGATCTTTCTTTGATTCTGCACTTCCCAGGCCCATGGGCACAGGTTACAGTGGACACTGATAGATCTTGGTGGGTCTCCTTGGTGACAAGACCCTTCTCTGAGAACTAACCAGTCCCCACCCCCACGCCCAGGAAGCACTAGGAGACAGAGGCTGACCACCCCTGTACTCCTGGCACCCCTGAAAGGGGAAAAAAAGAAAACAGAAACAAAAGGAAGACCCTCGGCAAACATAAGCCACCCTCCTGGGAATCTGGAATTCGGTCTGTGAGATAGATGCTAGGTGCCTGAACTTTGTCCTCCGGTAAATGCAACCATCCATCGAAAACTGAGCAGCTACTGTGTTCTGGTGAAATGCTTTCCACCCGCGCGACCAGAAAGCGTTGTTGGAGCCAGAAGGGGAGCACACTGGACCAATGCCTGCATTAAACCTGTACGTGCAGTTTTCTTGGAATACCCCTCCCCCCACATTTTAAACCAAGTTTTGCACCAGTTGGGCACACTGCTAGCTTTT